GGGTTTGAACCGCCAGCCTTCTGGCTAGCAGTCAAGTGCTTTAGCCACTATGCTACCAGAGCTCTAGTCCACTGAAAGTGATCTTAGCAAGGTCAACAAACTCAAGGTCCCTTCTTTGCCCGGATCATAGGACAGAGTTGGTTATTATCTCTTCTTGAAATACTTTTCTTCACTTGCCTCCCAGGACACCACAATCTCGTGGATTTCTCTTTCATGTCTGCCCTCCATTAACTTCCCTTTTACTTACACCTCCTCATCTTCTGGATTCTACTTCTAACAATATTAAGAGAATATAATTTGGCTTGGTGATATCATCTGTTTCATGGCTTAGATACCATCTCTATGCCAATAAATTCTAAACTTAAATATCCAATCCAAACTCTTTTTCTAAACATCAGTTTCAAATAGCCTACTGCCTAACTTACCATGTCTAAAATTGATAAACAAATCTTCCAAAACTCTTTCTATAGTTTTTTTAATTATTATTATTATTCTAAATCTCAGGTATTGGCAATCCATACTTTGTATTGCTAGGACCAAAAAAAATCTTATGATTTTTGCTGAGGATGCTTTCTCTATGCTCTCCCCACAGCACACATTCAATCTGTCAACAAATATAAAAATACATCCCGATTTTGACTACTTCTCACCATCACTTTGGACACAGCTACCGTAATATCATACTACAGTAGTTTTCTGACTGGTCTTCATGTTTCAATTTATGCTCCTTTTCAATCTATTCTCAACACAAACGCCAGAAGAAACTTGTTAAAACATCAGTCAGATAATGGCTCCCTTCTGACCCCCACTGCCCTCTAGTCCATTCTGACTCACAGCAACCCCAAGTATGTCAGAGTAAAACTGGGATTCATAGGGTTCTCGACGGCTTTCACAAGAAATGAAAGGTGTCTATGGCTAGGCTGGAACCACCAACCTTCTGGTTAACATGTTTAACCATATAAGCCACTCAGGAAGCCTGTCGCCTCCGACCAGAACCCTGTAATATTTTCCAAACTCACTTTGGGTACACCTGCAATGGGCTCTGTGTCCACTTGCTCTCAGTTACATTTCTGGAGTCAATTTATGACTATTCTCTCCCTTGTTCTCAGGACTCTATCCAGCTACATTAGCTTCTTCACACCTGCCTCAGTCTTTGTATTTCCGGGTCTCTCTGCCTGAAACAATCCTCCAGCAGATACTCACATGGTTTGTTCCCTCTATTCTTCAGATCTTTACTCAAATGTCTGGATTTCCTGTCCACACTGCTTAAATTGTAACATCTTCCTATTATTCCCTTCCTCTGTATTTTACTTTATAGCACTGTTCATCTCCAAATGATACATATCTTCTTATATATTTTATTTATTATCTCTCCCAAACCCACTAGAATGTAAACTCCAAAGAACAGTGATTTTTGTCTATTTTGTTGATTACTGTATATGCAATGCTTAGATCAGTGAATAGGAGCTCTGGCAGCATAGTACCTAAGGCATTTGACTGCTAACCAGAAAGCTGGCGGTTCAAACCTACCAGCCTCTCCTTGGAAGGAAGATGAGGCAACCTACTTCCATAGAGATACTGCCTTGGAAACCCAAGGAGGGGTTAGTATGAGCTGAATTGACTCTATGGCAGTGAGTTTGGTTTTTTTTTCTTTTTTGGTTAGATCAGTGATTAGGACATAATAGATGTGCAAAATATATTTACTTTTAAAAAAATGAGTGAAATATGACCAGATAGCAAGACCTAACATAGCAAGAAAATAAAAGATACCTGGCATTTTCATGTGTTTTCAGAATAAACATTCAAATAAAATATTTAAAAAGTTAATGGGTATAAATAACCAATACATACTTGTAAGATACAGAAAGTGTATAAAAGCAATAATTACTGCTTTCACTTTTGTTATTTTATTCCTTCATTTTCTATTCAAAATTGGGGGAAATTGAGTCTGCCCACATTATGCTCCAAGAATGAAGATGATGCATATACTCTTTCCTTTTTAGCCAAATTTTCAAAAGGAGAATGTTTATCTGGTCTTTTGAAAAGAGTGAAAATGTTGGCCCAAGGATAGAGGGCAGCGGGAGGGCTGGGCAGGGTTAACGGATTGCTCTCAAGTACTCTCTCATCTCTATGTACCACAAAAATCAGCTTTATCTAATAAGAACTTTCTCAAGGTCCCCTCCAATGAACTGAGAGTGCAGAGGTGAGGAAAACTCCAGGGCAACTGGAGGTAAACCTTGAAGAGCAAGTTAGAAGCTCAAAACTGAAGTCCCCAGGTGTATTTTACAAATTCATGAAAATTTTATATTCTAAACCAGCTTTGTGTGCTTGTTTTAAAAGGATTTTCTTTCAAATTGCCAATAAAATAAAGGCACCAGAAAAAATGTGCCCTGTTTATACATTTTTTGTGGCCGTTTGGAGAAGTCGAGGGAGGTATGTTTCTAAGGAACATACCCCTACCTTATAAATTGTTATTTTGTGTGCCATCAAATTGATTTCAATTCATAATCATTCCATGGGACAGAAGGGAACTGCCCTACTGGGTTTCTTGGCTGTAATCATTATGGAAGCAGATCACAAGGTCTTCCTGCAATCAACCATTCACTTAGCACCAATGTTTAACCATTTGTGCCAACATATTAACATGGTACACAGTGAATATTTTCAATACCCAGATCGCAATTACCTATGCTGACTTGACGGCACATAACAACAACAACAACAACAACTAAGTATTAGGAAGCTCAAATGAGTTATTATGAGTAAAAGAGTTACAGTAATTGGTACCTTGGTAGCCTGCCCTGAGCTCATTGCCTGGTACGTAGTCAACATTTAATGAATATAATTATTATTATTATTTTACCTCTGCCTCACCAAAAATCAGCATTGAAGAAATGGCAGTCCACTTTCAAAGAAGAGGGAACTTCAGCTTACTCTTCTTTCCATAATCAACATTACTATATTCCTCAAAGAGTTCAACAAAAAAATAATGAAAAAGCTGAAGAAAAACTTTTTTCTCTGAGAAAGAATATAAGAGAGCAGTGAAAACAAATTCCCAGGCCAAGGGGTACCCTGAGGTTCAGTCTTTTGAAGACCACAGTGCTTGCTTATAAATAGAATATTAAAACAAGCAAGAGCAATTTTCCCTTTCCTATTCCCTTATTGCCTAATTTTCCTCCCACACTATTTGCATAATGGGTAAAAAGGCATCCATTATGCAAATGAACGACAGGGCTATAAGGTTGCTAAGCCGCAAACCTTGCTCCAGATGAGCAGAAGCTGACACAAAGCCCTCCAAACATCCACGTTCCCCGAGCTCGCTTCACAAAAGACGGAGGGAAATCATGAGGACTACAGGTCATGAATTTCCATGTGTTTTATCTTAGATGGGCACTATAGATGCCTTTCAGAAAATTAGTACAAAATATGGGTATGTCAGCACTGTGATACATAAAATTCACTTTACAACATACACTTTATTTCAGCTGGGAAAAACAATTACTATGTACTTTACTATTTAAAGCATATGCTTTATTTAAAAAAGAGTAAGAGTCCCTTTGCAAAGTAGAATTAGCGTCTGTTCATCTAGTTTGGAGAATTGACCTGTAACAGGTGCTTACGGTCTCAAAATGCTTTGCATATGTTCAACAAGAATAAAAAAGAAGTGTTTTAAGTATCACAATACTAGTAGATTTCCAAAACTTCATGTAGTTACTCACTGCCATCAAGTCATATCCGACTCATAGCGACCCCTCCTTGGGTTTCTGAGGCAGTATCTCTACGGAAGTAAATTGCCCAACCTTCCTTCTGAGGAGTGGCTGGTGGGTTTGAGCTACCACCCTTCTTCTTTCAGTTAGACTGATATAAATATATCTCTAGAAGTATCATGAAAAACTGCCTTGATCTTTTTTTTTGGAATTGTAAATTGACTGAAACCTACGAAGAATGTTTATTTTCTCTTTCTACCCACACCTTCAAAACAAATAAAACAAAAAGAAGTCTGAGAATTACTGGGTGATTGTTCTCATTTGAATTAATCAGCAGGAAAGGATTAAAAAAAAAAAGTTCAAAATATTTTCCTCAAACACCAAGATATATAATTTAGGGAGAAAAGGAGGGTGGTTAAGAACAGAAAGTGACCTTTGTTTCTAAAATGGATTCCTTTATAACCCTTAGCTTTTTCCACATGACTGTGTTCAGGGATTTTGTTTTTTAAATGATCCTCATAGGCTACAGGTGAACCTACAGGTGAATCACTAAATTAACTCCTCCCCTGTGTTACTTTAAGGGATTGAGATTCACCTTCAGTTCAAGGAAAAAAAACACAGCATCTACTTACTTGTGAGCACCATCATTAGCTGCAACAAGCTATGTTAAAAAACAAAGTGATTTAGAGAAAAAAAGAACTAGATTTCTTCTTTAAAAAAAAAAAAAAGTTATCAATAGGATATGTTGTCAGCATGATGATCATTTTCAACCAGGTAAAAGGTATACCACGTACCTGATTTCAGAGCAGAAGGCGTTACTTCTATTTCCCCACCAATCGGTTTAAATGTAGCCAGCTGGGCAGCCACGTCCCTCTCCAAGGCCTCTGGGCCCTGCTGATCCGCCAGGTTTCCACTGGGGCTCTCAATCCTGTGAAGTGGTGCTTGTTCCTCGAACACAGCAATCAGCTGCAAACAAACCCACCAACACCGATTACTTTGTAGGACACGCATATCACACAAACACGGTATCTAATTCACGGTGATCTTTATGTGGTTTTCAAGAAAATGGCCTCTTGAAACTTAAAACATTAATGTTCTATGCCATCACTCTTAACTCTTCGATAGCAGTACATAAACTCTAAAATCACTGTGGCTAGAAAATAATTAATGATTTGTTTGTTTGATTGATTGGCTTGCCTACTTCTGAAATAAGGAACCAATTCTGCCAAACTATCTTAAAGGAATGAAATGGCACCCTCCTCCCTACACTACCTTCTCCAATATGCATAAAGGACTTCAGCATCTATTTTAAGAGTGTTTCTCCAAATGAAGCTGAATATACAAAAGCTGAAAAATAGGCTTACGTGTTATAAAGGGACATTCCTGTCTCAGCTAAAAGACATTATAAAATCCATAATTATATCTGTTCTTCTAGACATAATCATAAAATTACATAAAAGCATTTATGTATATAGTTTGTGTATATATATATATATATATATGTATGTATATAGTGTGTCTTATTTATCTTGTATATATAGATATCCCATATTTCTACATGATTTTTCCTTTTTTTTTTTTTTTTTCCTTTTCCTTCATGATTGACTTTATGTCGACTGGTTTAAATATAATGAATGCTAAGTCCAATGAAAATAAAGATCGGCACTTTCAACCCAATTATTCCTATTGTCATCTTAATTGTATTTCAATTGAGACTTATGATTCTTATCATTAATATAAAAACTTTTAATATTTCATTCTCAGATCATTCTTTTATAGAAATAAAAGCAAATATAACATATTCAAGTAATTGTAAAATCACTGCTGTGTTAAAAAAAAAAAAAAAAAAAAAACAGGGCAGCCCTGTGAAATTTTTGGCCAGCAGACAGTACCACCATAGAGTAACTTAAAATGTTTATTGTCATTTGATGTGTAAAAGTCCAAATATGATAATAAATAAATAAAAGACTAGGGTTACTGGTCAGACGGAGACTGGTGAAACCCCAAGACTATAGCCTCTGGTCACCCCTCAAGTCTGGAACTGAATTTTCTCCCACGGCTTAGCTCTCAGCCAAACAGCAGACAGGCCCAGGAGCTGAACATTTATTCCAGGAGGTGCTCTCTTTAGAACAATCAACCATGGGCGAACAGAAGAGCAGCACTTGCACAGGAAGAAAGCTCGAGAGGCAAGAATGCATAGCAAAGAAGGACACAGGGAAAAGGGAACCTTGGGGAGAAGTGGGAAGAGAGCTGTTACATTGTGGGGACTGCAATTAATATCATAAAACAGAATGTGTATGAACTGCTGTATGGAAAATGAATTTGCTCTGTAAACTTTCACCCAAATCATAATTAAAAAAAAAAAAGAAAAGAAAATGTTAAAACAGAAAAAAAAATGCAAATGTGAATGCAAAAGCAGCTCAGGGATACGACTGTCAAGCCAATAAAGTGCCCTGTGTGCAAATTTGAGATCTGCTAGAAAATCTATAGATAGTCTTCATTCATAAAATAAAACAAACCTACTTATGAATCAAACATTTATTCAGGAAAGGGATTCAAAGCCCCATTCATAAGGGAACTTTATTGGCAATAGTATTAATAACACATATGCAAGTGTAACCAATCAAAACATCATAAATTCCAAGTTCAGTCTTTCAAAAGAAATGAATACAATTAGGGATATGCAAATTGGCTATTCAAAAACAATTTTCATAATTGACTACTCATTTTCAGTATGGAGACTTCTTTAATTGGAAAATCTAACAATACCCTCACCACAGGAAAAAATACTACTCTTGAAATTGAGTACACAACGTTTTCTATTTTTAATTGGTAGTAATGATTTACAATAAGACTTAAATGGATTAATAGTGAAATATTATTCTAATCTAAAAATAATCAGTAGATGTTTATCTTTCTAATCATCTGGCCATAAAGGAAATTTAACACTTTAACTCTTACATGATCCATGGGACACATATTGCCCACCAATATTTTCAGCCTCTCAGGTTTCTTGGGAAGCTGCTATTCTAGTTGTATTATGTACTACCACTTGGTGGGAACCTGTACAACTGTGAATCTGAGCAAATGGGCCTCACCCCATCCATCCTATCACCAGAGTCCACTTGGGATATATATGCCCCATATAATTGTATCAAAATCTATACTACCCCAAGAAAATATTTTTCCCTTGATTTCAGTATGCCTTCCATTACTGAAAAATTCATGGTATCAAGAAAAATTTCAACATCAAAAAAAGTTCAGTCATGAAAGAGTTAAATTCTGAAAAGGAAACAAATCAACTTACCAAATGTGGTAGAAGTTTTATATTCATCACTGTTTCTGTATCATATTATTCCCATGATATTCATATTATCATATAAGATATTCTGGATCATATTAAACATCTCATGTTGTATACTGGCAACATGTATCAGCTATATTTATCTAATATACCAGTCAACTAGGAAAAATGGGTATACTCGTAGTCTGAACAGTTTTATTTAAGAGTAGTATTTTACATTTTGCTCTTTATACATGCTTAACTTTGAATATAACCTGTGTACCTTAAATATTTGGAAAAAGAGAAAAAAATAAATATCACTCAGAAGCATAATACAAAAGCATAAGATTGATAATTCATAAGATAACTCATTGTCTATGACTTTCATGGAAACTTTTTTACTTGTGATGCTTTAATATTTTCTATACTATTATATCAACATAAGTTTATAGCATATATAGTAACAATATATCTATTTATCAAATGGAAGAACAAAGTAGTTTAAATATTCTGTTTCTCAAGATCACAGTCTAAGTGGTAATTGGTACTGGACTATTAATTTCCACTCAGGGCTTCAAACAACACTGCACCCGTTGTCTAAAAAGAAAACTAAAAGAAAAAGAGGCTATATTGTAGAATATTTCTAATGTGTACATGAGGATGTTGTTATCCATCAGAATGTGAATTCCACTCCTTGGACATACCAGCAATATGTGGCTCTTCTTTGTGACAATTGGAGTCGTCCCAAATCTCATCAACTCTTTAATTAGTTTATGACCTAGCTTCTCTCCCAATCCCATGATTGACAGCAATTACATCAGCAAAGAACAGTCTGGATGAATGGATGAAATAAAGCCCCTCTCCTGCAGACACAATAGTTAGACACTTGGCTACTGACCAAAAGGTTGCCTGCTCCAACCCACCCAACACTCCATGGGAGAAAGACTCTGTGCTCTGCTTCTGTAAAGATTACACCCTAGAAAAATAGTGCAATGTCTGTTTTCTCACATGGGCCACTCTAATTCAAAAATCCACTTAACAGCAACCCAACAATGGCAACATCCCTGAAAAGAAAGGGGCCAGCTCCTGTGTCTGTGATACCAAAGTCACTGATCCCATATACATTGGCTGATAGGACACTGTCCATTCCAGCTCCATCTCAATGTATACAAAGCACAGAGGCTAAGACTTCCTTCAACATTGATAATGGATTTAAATCACATGTGGTAGGTCCCTTTCAACCAGATTACTTAATTTATCATATACCTACATTACTAGGTAACAGAAGTTCTGACATACCATGTAACAGAGATACATTAATTAACATAACCAACATATGAGTCCTTCAAAGAAGCATGTGGTATTTTCAAGTGTCCAGTGATTGCAATTGGCCTTATGCCTTTAAACCCATTCAAAATTACCTTTCCTACCATTGGGCAATCTACTTCTGTAGTGATACCAACTTGGAAACCCAAGGAGGGGTCGCTATGAGTTGGATCCGACTTGACAGCACGTAACAACAACAATAACATTGATATAAAATGGACATGAAAAAGGAATTTATTTTTTAAAAATAGTTTAATGTTTTGTAGAATAAATTACTGTGGCATTCTGAAGGTTGATCACTAACAAATTAAGGGCTGCAATAACCTAAATCCTATGCAAAATGCATATGGGCATTATTTGATTTGAATGCCTCTCTCTTCGGCTGTCCTTATCCATCTTCTGGTGCCCCTTCTGTTCTCCTTCTGTGATGCCAGTGTTCCCACGTCATCCTGTGCAGCACTGACATTTTCAAAGCCCCAAGATCCAAAATGATCTGTTCACACAGCTTTTACTTCCAATCAAAATTTCTGTCCCCACAGATCTCTGTCAGCATTTAGACATTTAATCCCCAGACACACACAGGAAGATCAGTCTACAAATAAGCTATTAATACTCCCATTAAAAAAAAAAAAAAAAAAATCTCAGAACCCATTTACCTTTGTAGGTTCCAATCTCATCTTTCACTTTCCGACTAAAGCACAACTTCTTGAAAGAGCTGTCTACACTAGCAGTTCCCCATATCTCACTTCTCTTCCTCTACCAAATCCACTCTAGACAACTTCTCATCACTCTTTGTTGTTGTTGTTGTTTGCCGTTGAGTCGGCCCCAACTCATAGCGACCCCTCCTTGGGTTTCCGAGGCAGTATCACTACGGAAGTAGGATTGCCCAACCTTCCTTCCGAGGAGTGGCTGGTGGGTTTGAACCGCCAGCCTTCTGGCTAGCAGTCAAGTGCTTTAGCCACTATGCTACCAGAGCTCTAGTCCACTGAAAGTGATCTTAGCAAGGTCAACAAACTCAAGGTCCCTTCTTTGCCCGGATCATAGGACAGAGTTGGTTATTATCTCTTCTTGAAATACTTTTCTTCACTTGCCTCCCAGGACACCACAATCTCGTGGATTTCTCTTTCATGTCTGCCCTCCATTAACTTCCCTTTTACTTACACCTCCTCATCTTCTGGATTCTACTTCTAACAATATTAAGAGAATATAATTTGGCTTGGTGATATCATCTGTTTCATGGCTTAGATACCATCTCTATGCCAATAAATTCTAAACTTAAATATCCAATCCAAACTCTTTTTCTAAACATCAGTTTCAAATAGCCTACTGCCTAACTTACCATGTCTAAAATTGATAA